GCCTGCAACTGAAAATATGGATGGAGGACCTCAGTTTAGCTTGTTGGTTTGTCGCACTAGCGCCAAAGCTAACAGGCTAAGATGAGGTTCTTCTTCCATGAAGCAGCTCTGTTGTCCTCCATCTATATTTTCAGTTACAGGCTGAGTCATTTCTACTTTCTCCTCTCTGTCAACGCTCTCTGGTTTCATTTAAAAGAGTCGATCATCAGATATTGTCCAAGATTAACCTTCAGGGTGGATATTGCTCACTAACAGCCTCGCACCAAGGACCTAGTTGACGTCATCATTCACCCAGAATGCTTTGCGTGTAAATAAAATGGCCCCGTCCGTGTAATATGTTTTTAAACTTTTAGTTTAAAATTTATAAAAACTGAACATCCTACAGTATTTTTACAGTCTTTATTTTACAGTTAAAATATATGTTTCTCATATAAAGTCTAATGTTGCAACTAATCGGGGATCCCTTTAATCAGTAATTCATCCCTTTGAGATTAAAAACCTATTTTTCAAGAGAGATCTGACTAATAGCTGACCTTTATTTGGTTTTTAGCAATAATATTTTGACAAGCCTTAACTCAGCTTTTTCCTTCAAATTCAGTAATCATTCAGCTCTCAGCATCTTCCTTGCATTTTTGGAGAAAAGTGCGTCTCTACATTTATCTAAAAAAGTCTATTTCAAAAAAGGCCAAATGTAAAATACTGATCTGCTGCAGGATATTCATGTAAAATGTGCTGTTTGTTCATTGCAGATTTTTTTTTGTGTATTTTCCATTTACGTTCCAGCCATCATTGATGGTCATGAGATGTGGAGTATTACTGAAAGAACAAGAAACGCAGAAAGAACAACATGTGATGAACAACATTCAATGAACTGTGCATGTTCAGTGTTTATTTGCTTGTTTAGACTTAAAAATTGATCATAAATGTATTAATTTCTCCAGCGTTGTATCGTTTTGGGGTGTTGTTTATTTTTTCAAAGCTTTAATAAAAATGATTTTAACTGTGATTTGTTTATTTTCATTGTAATTTTTTTATTGTGTTACGTAGAGCCCTGAGCCATGGCAGACGTCAGCACAGGGCTGTTAGCAGGCGATGGTTCTCTCATCTCTGGTCCTGATCTTGGAACAAAGAGATGCTCTGAGACAGTTCACAGCAACACATCAGCAATCTCATTACATTCCCAACCTTTGAGACGAGCCCGCAGGAGAGGAGGACAAACTGTTCAGCCTTAAATCAGAGAGTGAACAACGTTTACTGTATATAAACTGTCACGACAGATAAATATAGCTGTGTTTTTGGAATTAAACAATGTTGCAAACTATCATCAGATCAGTGAGAAGAACTGATTTTACAATAGTGTGCTTGTTTCTGTTTAGTTTCTAATAACTATAAACTACAAAGAATCAATTTTTTAAAAATAACTTTTAGGGTACTTGTGATAGTTTAACACATATAATCTAATCCTTTGAAATTTTTGTTCACTCTGAACAGTGTTTTACTTTTTGTTGTTATTTTCCAGTCATGTTAATTAGTACCTGCTTCCCTGACAATAATTCTGTGAGATACAGTTTAGAAATATTTAACCAGTGGTGCCTCTGAATAGTTTTTTTTTTTTTTTTTGCTTTTGACACAGCTTATATGTTTTAATCATGAGGAATGTTTCTTTTTCACAGTCTGTTTCAGCAAATAATACATCAAGGATTATCACGGACTCCTTATTCAACTTTTTTTTTCTACTTGATTAGAACACACAAATATACTGATATTTTATAAGGTTTGCATTATGTGTTGGTCAATCCTGCAGTCTTCCTTAAGGAATTTAATGTTACAAAACGTCAGGACCACTAAAATTGTAGTGGTCACCTCGAGGTGGAATAAAAAGTTCCACCTGTCTTTGACCTTGGTCTCAGAAAACCTCCTTCGGAGAGACGAAACTCTTTTCCATTTGGAACTTAGTTTAGGCCACAATGTGTCTTCTCAAACATAAAGAGACATTGTCTTCTTCTTAATTAATAAACAAAGTAATAATGTTCTTTATATTTTTTATTTATGTTTTCTTTTAACTAAAAGTTATCATTTTATAAATCAAGGTTACATAATGAAATGAATGACAACCTATTTTCTTTCATTATCCATACATCCATTTTCTTCTGCCTATCC